ACTCGACAAGAAATTGGAATTTAGACTTCCCAAAGTGAGTATTAAATTGAATCTAGCATGAACATTTGCAAGTATGGCCCCACGTTCGTACGTACAGTTGATAACTTCTTTCCCATACAATCACCCAAGCTACTTTTCCTTTCAGTACATTTACTTGAGAAGATTCAACACAGCGCGCTTTGCGGAGCTTGAGAAATCGGCAATACCCTTGGCTAAAGCATCACCAACAGACTTGCTCGCTGACGCAGCAATACTTTGAACAGCGCTTGGAACCTTTCCAGTAATGGCCTTGACGAAATCTTCGGATGCCGCCTTCTGTGCTGTCAAATTATCGATAGTAGTTTTGGTTTGCCCAGCAGCCTTGATGATGTCTTTCTTATCAGTCAAATCCTTGATGGTTTGTTGTGTTAAAGTGGTGAGTTTGGCGCTGGCACTCTGAACCTGAACAGCTTCCAGCAAAGAGAGGACAGATGTGGAGCTGACTTTTGCAGTCCCGTCCTTGAGGGCTTGCTCGACGGCCTTTGATTTCGCGATAATATCTGCGGATTGGGCTTTTGGATCTCCACCAGCCGTGAGGCCCTTCACGGCAGTGTCGAGGGCGGTGAGAGCGTTTTCGACAGTTGTCAATGCGCCAGTGATGGTAGGCAGATCGGCTGAAACGCCAACAGCATCTTTAACACCCTCGACAGGAGCGGCAATGGCAACGCCCGCAAGTGCGGCAACGAGAAGAGTTCGGTATTGCATTTTGAACCGTAAATGTGTGGAAGATGCTCTAGATACTGCGGCCGATATCGTTAGACGCTTGGGAAGTACAGCGAAGAGCAATGCTCCACTACAGCTTTTATATGTCAACTCACAGGATAGGTGTCAAGTCTTTAAGAAATCAATGCCTTGAAGCGAGGTTAGGATCTGAATGATGAAGGATGAAAAATGAATCGTACCGAGCAGAAGACGCTGGTGATAAGAGGAATCCCACCCGACTTATACAAGCCATCAAAGGCCGAAGATTGCCATAAACTAGAACCTCATCTCATCGGTCCTTCACATGTGCCAGTGGAATATCGTCATAGAGGGCAAATATCATGAATTGGTCCGAGTGTGGAGAGCTATTACCTACGCCATGGGGTGGCATAATTTTGCCTTCGCGAGATAGACAGTAGGTTACCCTAACGTACGCAGGCGCGCTCCGAGGAGGTCCCAACCAAGACATATTTACGACTGGTAGATTGGTGAGATCGATGTGCATCGACGAGTTGTAAGTGGCTCGTTTCACTAACGAGTCTCAGATAGATTGGATCGCTAGAACCTGCTAGCTCTCCGCATTACACATTCGAGTGTAATAATATCTTGCAAGCTGCAAGGGTGTGCTTGATTAATTTGCAAAAGTGGCGGGACAAGAGCCACCGCAGAGGGAATTCGCGCCATGGTGTGAAAGCACTTGAGTTGTGGCAAGCTGAAATGAAATACGATGCCTGAAATTCGCCCTCTGCTGAACAATATCCCGAAAGCTCGACATGACCAGTGCCATCGCAGTCAGCACATGCTGTATACACCATCCCAGCTTTTTGTGCCAACGCCGAAGTTCCCCACATGATACCGGACAGTTCTGATTGCATTTCTTACCGAGACTGAGGGCGATCATCAGATCATTGCAACGGTGGAGGACGCACCTCATGTATGAATGGTATTTCGCGATCGACTAGTATTTTGATCCATGATAACCTTTTCTGTGTACAAATAATTGGCCCACGTTTCCGATCTAAGCTCCGATATCAAAACGAAGCTACACCTGCTTATATGTCAGGATCATCAACGACTATACATGGTGTTTCGAGATCGGGTACAAAACTCTCTGTAGGATGATCGTAATTACAGAATATGGAGAAATGCGGGGAGAAATGCGGGGAGAAACGCATGATGCAAAGTTTACACATGGCATCGGAAGTACTGCTGACATGGGGCGCCAGGAGTTCTTGGTGATCAATTCATCACAAGAAGATCGGTCTAGTCTCGGCGTACTTGAAGACTTTGGAATGGAAACGGGACAGTCGCACAAGCTGTGAGAAAATGGAGAGGGAAAACACAGCAGTCGCGAACTTGTCGAAAGCAGGTGTGTGCCACACAACAGGCGCTGTACTTCTAGATCTGTACCGCTCAATGGATCGGAAAACAAACCCGTAATATGGTGGTGATGTAGCATGCATTGGTCTAGATATCCCTAGAAATGGGACTTTGATTGTCCTCACTGTCCGAACCAGTAAGACTTCATCATGCAGTGCTGTTTCAAAACTCACGCATTCTTTCTCGTTCTAGACAGGTCTTACATAAGAAGGTCGGAGAGGCTGTCGATTGACGGACCCAAGCTTGCAGAAGTCCCTGAACTCCAGAAGCAGAATCGAGTTGGGGGCTGTCCTCGACCTCCAGAAGAGCTATAAGCTGTGCCACAGGACGTTGCAACTTGAAGTCTTCTTCCTTCCTACATCACGTCTCTTCATGCAGGTGTAGTTCAATGTCTCCATTCTGATCCTGTTAAAAAATTTGAGGGCTGTTTCTCGCTGTTCGGTCGTCCAGGCTTGACTTTTTACTTTCGCGTCCCGACAGATACCGACTCGTATCTCGATCTAGAGACCAATCGAGTCACTGAGACTCAATTTTGATTCACGATGCTGCTCAACGGATCTCAGGTGCTGCTTAGCCATGGAAGCTTCACACTCTCTCCTTTTTACTCCAATGTAATCGGGAAGCAGGCCTAGAGCTGCAATTGGGCAGATAAGCGGGCAGCGAAATTGGGCGAGGAGAGCAGCGATATGCAGAATCTAGGCCAGAGTATTGGGCGAATAAGAACAGAAGATATTCTAACTCCCGACCTGCCAAGTCTGTTAGGCCTCTCCCCGGAATCAGGCGAGTCCAAAATAACTTGTTATGAAACTGAACGAAAGATTTCGAGGTTCCTCTTCTGGTGGGGAATTGCCTTTGAGGTTGGGGACGCGTCTGTCGAGTCCACGCGGATTTTGCGTTAGATATCCCGGCATAGCTGATGAGACTTCGGGTGAGGCGCATGATGAAAATATGACAGTGGACAAAAAGTGATGGAGCGATACGAATGCGATATAGTGATAGGAAGAGAGAAAGAAAGATTGGAAGAGGGGAGTCGACTGGCCAAGTTCTTCGTCGCAGAAAATACGCCACAACTACAGTCAGGTAGTACCAAAGGGGTTCACCGGCATTCGAACCACAGAGAAGCAATCAGACTTCTCTTTCTCCCATGAACTTAAAGGCTGCAGCGAAACCAACGAGAGCAGCAGGCACCCCCAATATCCATTTTGCTAGACTACGCAATGCAGCTCTCTCCGAATCCGGAATGCTCCCTTGAGACCGGAAGTCCTTCATAGACGTAGTGAGGTTATCACTGTTGAGTTCGGAGATCAGCAGACCGAAAGACATGCCCGATAATCGAGGTTTGTGCTGGGAGTCCGACATGGAGATCTCGGCTTTCGACCTCCTTTTGCTGTGCTGTTTGTGGGTATATAGGCGACTTTGGAGGTCCCGCGCATGTCGTGATTGAAACTTGATACATCGTCGAGCAACCATGCTAGTGAAGCAGAAAACCATTGGAAACCTGATTGATGATTCCAAGCTTTAAACTGGAAAAGACCAGAAGTTTTGTTGTCAGTGTCGTAATGTCGTCACTAGCCTGGATATGGAAATAGAAAGATAGGCTACGGCAAATTTAACCGACCACGTGCCCTCCATATCTCGATTTGATATCCACCTTTTTTGCCTACAAGGTTCTATAACAAGTCCTCAAAATACCTTCAATCAAATCCGTAGTATCAAATGGGACGACGTCTTCTCGGCTCAAAGAAACGGAAACGAAATGCCGAACCCTATGTTGGTCCACCACGCCAACCAGGTCGTCCAAGAAAGAAATTCCCAATCACCACAGTGGCGGCATCAATTCCCAAATCAAATCTTATGGCCAAATCCCGATCACAACCAGAACCAGAACCACCAGCAATGAAAAAGATCAAAATACCAAAGAGAAAGCCTCTCAAGCTCTCACTTTTGGAAACCCTCCCATCGGAACTCCTCCAAACCATATTCCTACAATCCATGAACGTCTCTCTACCACGACTATCAAAAATCTTATCCAGTAAATTATCATCCCAACATCTCCACCTGGAAATGTCTATGCAAATTCTCTACCACCATCACGACCAACCTGTCAAGTATAGAAGTCAACTTCTGATATGTAAATTCTTCACGCTCGATTTTCTGGCAAAGTATATTCAATATGCACATCGCTATTGGTACGACAGTACGGACCACGACCCAGGAGATTCGTATCAAGAATTAGGCCCCTCGGAAGCATTAACGGAATTGGAACATAACAATCTGGGTTATCCATTCTTAGAAAGACTACAACACCTTTATATCCCATCCAAACTCCTCCACGGACCCTGGAACCGCCAAAAGATCAAATTCCTACGCATCCTCAAGAGGAACGAATGCACAATAAACTGGTCCACCTCCTCCGACGACGAAACAGCAAAACGCGGCGTTCTAGAAGCAATCCTCGCAAATTGCACACCAGTAGTGCAAATTCTTGTTGGCTACAAGGATTCATGGGTACCCGTCTCGCAAGATATGCTTAGGTGCGCTGTTTTGGAAGGTGGTTGCAATAGAGATATTGTGAGGCATTTGTTCGATCCGCTTAGTGATGTGGACGTTAGACCGAAGGAGGAATTGGATTTCATGGACGCGGGAATTTGGAGGTGGATTGAGCAAAGGGGGGATGATCTTACGGGGAAGTGGTTGCAGAAGGTGTTGGAAAGCAACGGAGATTCATTGTATGTTAGGCCGCCGAGGAGGAAATAGACTACTATGAGTATCAAGTTGGTGCCAAACTTCCTGTCGCGATGCCAAAAAGTGAAGAAATGCTTGAGACAACGGAAAGCAATATGCGCGGAAAATTGCATGTATAAAAAACAGGCAAAAAATAGCTGGGACTGGTTTCGATCCAGCGACTTTCGGGTTTCTTGCTTGTAAAAGTATGAGCCCAACGCCCTTCCGCTAGGCCACCAAGCTTGTTTGTTGGAAGTGGTACGCCGTGGTTGTGGTCATGACTAGCAAGTAGTAAGTGCTGTTCTTGTGTGACTAATAAGGAAGGTTCGCTGTTTGTGAGTCAGGTTGTGCAAGTATTGGAGAGCAAGAGTTGATCAACGGCTCAGACATAGCAAACGGCACTATGAGAAGGTGAGATGAGAGATGTGGAGCGAGCACAGCGGAACGACAGCTTGGAAGATAGAAAAACCAATGCAGAAAGTTCGACGATCTATCTATTGCACATCGAGAAAGGAGCTATATGCACAATGTTCGAGTTTGATGGGAAAGATAAAGAGAAAAAGCCTATAGAACGGAGAGATCTCCAAATTTCTCCTATAAACTTGTTAGCCAATAGACACCATGCCATCACAATCAGACTTGCCTTGTAACCCGGAACAGCCCAGCGACCCTTTGAAACGAGTTGCTCGGTGCGTTGATCAATATCCGGTCTCGCGGAAGCGACATCATCCTATCACACAAGAAGATTAGCCAAGCCCTCCATACACCATCCTAACTCCATGCCCTGGAGATACATACGACAGTCAAATCCTCAAACGGCCTCGCCTCCTCAATATTCCTCAACGTTTTATCGAGATCCACCAACTCCTTGTCAACAACGCCCTTCGTCTCCTCCGCACTCTTCACAGCCTGCAACTCAAAGGCCTCAATCGCCTTAATCTGCCTATCGACATCATAAGTCGCCGGCTTAAATGTCTTGAAATGATTTTCAATTTCTTGGACAACAGCTGTGTTTTTCAGTACGGATCGATAATGGCTGAAGTCGACGGTTTGGGGATGTTCGCTCAGTTGTTGGACTCTGCGGCGGGCGTCATCGTTGCGCTTTTTGAAGGCAACGAGAGCGTTGGCGGTGGAGCCTTTCAGGCCCAATTGGCTGCTTAATGAGGCCCAGTTCAATTTGAGGGAGGCACTCCGCTATTGTTAGGGGACGGGTTAGCTGTTGTCTTGTCTGTTGGCGTTTTTCGGTTATGCTCAGGAATGGTTCCATTGGCGCGGGGAGATGCCAATGCCTATTCCGAAGGGCGAATGTGGTGTTTAGGATGGGAATTAACTTACTCCGACTGCCATTGTGATGGGTGTGGACGTTGCACTGTTGTATGAGATGCGTGGTGGTGACTTTCGAGCTCTTTTCCGGATGAAGGTCCAAGTCGAGCCGACCGCCAAGCGTCTGCGCACGTGATCTCCAAATATGGACGCATAACCTAGGCACCTTAACCTAACGGGAGATCGTTGATTATCCCAAGTCAGTTGTTGGTCTGGCATTGAATGGGTAAGATCTTTATCTTTCAAACACATTCTAGGCTGCTGAAGGCAATTCAATGTCCACTAAACTAATTCACCACGGAATAATCGGTGATCCTTGACACAGCTCGGGAGCTCTCGCAAGCTTCAATTTGTTACGCACAAGGCAAAGTAAGATTGAAAATAGCAGTCTATGCGACGTGCTTCTGATGTTTGGATTTTTGGATGCCACTATCTCTCCTCTCAAGCCTTACAGACCCCACCCTCTAGCAATAAAGCCCACCGACCGCTATCTCTCTTAGCACTTGCGCAAAGCAGCATCTGACAGGCTCAAAGCACGGCAGCCCTATATACTGAGCGCCATAATGGAGTTGACAATGTCATTATCATTCTCCTTCAAAGCCTTGACAGCCTTCTTCCTACTCACACTAGCCTGCTGCATAACCAACTCGATGTCCTTGCCCTCAAGGCCCTCCTCATCGACTTCCTCTCCATCGTCTTCGTCCTCGTCGTCTTTCTTGTCGTCAGCCTCGATGGCTTTGCCTTTGCCGTGACCGCCGGGACCGTGGTTATGGCCAGCGTGCTCGTCGACGTCGCCTTGCTGGACGATTTGTTGGGCCGCGTTGGCTTGGGCCTGGGAGTTGAGGTCCTCGATTTTGGCTTCGCCAAAGATGCTGTTGGTTGGTTTATTAGCTTATTGTGCTTGGGAGGGGGAGTTAGTGAGGAGTATACTTACATCCATGTGTTGCTCGATGGGGACTTGTAGACATCCGGGTTGTTGATGACGAAGAGAATCTATTCCAACCTAATTAGCATATATTCAACTCATTCACAGTATCAATCAACACTAAATCAATCCAAGGTTCACTGGAAAGAGCTCCTATATTCAAGCAGAAAACCCCCAGTCCTTCTCTCAAACAAAAATTCAAAACCACATACATTCTTAGGCCTCCTCAAAGTGACCCTCGTAATACCAGTAATATGCTTGAGCCCCAACTTAGCAATAGCCTTCCTAGCCTTCTTCTCGTTGCGAGAATGAACTACTACGCCAGCACCACTGCCAATGGTAGCTTCACCGCCGTCAGCATCAACTTCCGAGTCGGAGCTGTCGCTGCCGTCTTCAACTTCGGCAATCTTCTTGTCGTCATCCTCGATTTCTTCGATGCGGGGGTTCGACATGATTAGGGAGAAGATGCAGGTAATTAGGAGATTTAGGTGGTGTGGTAGGTAGGGTCGTGTTTTGATGGTTTGAAGGGGTGGGAAGCTTGTTGGAGGTGAAATCGCAAAATTGTGCCAAGAGCTATTTTAGCGAATTTCGAGCTTTGGAAACGGTACGCGATTTTGACAGTACCTGGGGTTCAGCAGTTTAATCGAGTACATCAGAGCAGAATTCAGATCGGATTCACAAGCATAATCACAGGCAAACGTATGTCGTGTTTAATAGGCTTTTCATTTTGCTCACATCACCAGATGAAGAGCCCACCCACAAAGTCGAAAATGCAGATTTACAGCCATAAAAAGAAGACGCCAGGAGCTAATTTGATCTCTTCGAACAGCATCGACATTAGACTGCTTGTATGAGAGAAAAGCAGCTGTGCCAATTCACCCCGTATCCCATGCTTTCACAAATCTACGTCTTTTTGATGACGCCGCAACCTTGAGAATTTGATCGTTACGTCTATGCCTTAGCCCTAATCTTTGCGAGAGCCTTCTTCTCCTCGAAGCGGACCTGCTTCCGTAACCTCATCACCTGGAATCGCTCGAAGTCGTTGAGTGCCCTCCGCTTTGCGCTCTTACCCCTGCCTTTAGAGAAGTTTGTCTCCGACCACTTCTTGTCGACCTCTGCTGACTTCCACTTGCCCTTGAGAGATCCGTTGCCGATTCCACGGGGTAAGCCAGCTATCACGATTGGAGAGAGTGCGAGGTTGGAGAGTTGCGCAGAGTGACGGGGGACGACCTGGCCTTCGACTTCGGATGGGCCATCAACGAGAACCTAAATGAGGTTGTAAGTAGTCATGTTTTCCGCAAATCGCTACTTCTGGTTCGCGAGGTGAGTGGAGAACGTACGCGCTTGTGGTCGATGATCTCGACGATTGTTGCGATCCTGAGTATCTAATTGGCATGGTTTCTACATTTTCACAAATTGACAAACACTCACTTTCCAGCATATGGACTTGGCGATGAGAACAAGACCACGCGGCCAACCTCCACCATACGCCAGCTATTTCATGTCAGTTCCCGAAGCTCTGCAATTAGTTGTTCGCAAAGTTTGCGGGCAGACGAACCGGCTTGCTGTGATATCTGCGTCACCCATCTTATTCGAAATCTGCCAATGGTTAGTTTATGAAGGTACGTAGTAACTTCCGCAAATCTTACTCGGAAGAAGAGGATGTGTGTGGTGTCGTAATTGAAGATTCACTTGTTGCAGTCAAAGGTAGAGGGAAGCAAGATCTCCAATTTGTGGGCCGGAGAAACGTTGTTCACTCTGCCAAGCCGCTAAATTTTCTCGTGCATCTCCTTCTAAACTTTTTCCTCCAGTTTCTTCGACAACAACATCGACATTAGGTACGTCAACTTTCTCCAATTCATTGCACTCCCATATGATGTTATAATTTGCGAATGATTCTGGCGACCGGACACCCTCGCCGGGGTCTCTTAACGGCGTCAGAACTATGATATTCAATTCTTACATATTCTGATCTTCTGTCCTACTCCTTCATCGAATAATGCACAACTACCGTGGGCAACATTGCTAACCCGAGTATCAGGGAATTATCTAGAGTTCATTCGTTGTATTAGTCTTCGATATATAGCTGGCTGATTGGTCGGAGGACTGGCCTAGGTCGTGAGACGCTCTTAAGATCTCTGTTCGGTACGTACTGCTATTTGTTCCTTTCCACTTGCACATTGATGAAAACATATGCACTAGATAGTAATTGATCCCTCGGGAATGATACTAATCCTTATCACCAAGATCACTGAGACCGTGTTCATTCCTTTTTCCTTCTCTCATGTAGCTTTTAGCCTCAATAACTAACGTCCGCCTTCCAGATCCAAAGAGACTGTAAAACAATTACCCTCTTCAATTCATTCTTCGCGGGGCAGCATCTATGGGCGACTGCCACCGCAGTTTATGATGGGTTCTTCTTGAGCATTTCCTCCTGGACCTCATGCGATCAAAATCATCGCTCGAAAGGGTATTGAATCGCAGCATGCATCTTCATATATTTCACTAATATCGTTTACTGTTTAATTTCTCGAATCGTGCCTTACATTTGATTGGTTCGAGAATCCCGTGTGCATGCTTTTAGTTCTGGTATTTATGACGAGGTCAAGCTGTTCAAGTTCCTCAACTACCAGGTCATACCCCAAATTTTCCGCCTAAAATATTTCGCTCTTCTTGTCCTTTGGCTTCGGCTGTATGTATGAAAAAGAACGCTGTGTTGCTCAGGGAGTAGAACTCGTAGGTAACTATGACCCAACCAACCCAGCATGAAAGAAAGCGCAACAGTAATAGTCTCCGACACGAATGAATACGATCATGAAATCCACCCGGTCGAGTGGCAACTTCACGATTAATCTTTTGTCGAGGAGCCAGATTTTGGTCTGGTTCCATTCTGAAGCGAGTATGCACATTGACGGATGAGGCTAGCGTACGTCCTCGCTTGCTTCAATCCCACTCGCCGCTTCAGCATCAGAAGCTCAAACATACCATCTCGAAT